GCATGCAAATATTTCCCTTAGGAGTACACTTTGGAATTGAAGAGTGACTTGAAAATCTTATGAAAAACCTCCTGTGCTTAAAAAAGCCATAAAGCAGGCAGACAGCAGGGCACTGAAGTCATCAGTCAAAAAGCACGAAATTGCTGTCCCATCTATTGCTGCTTTCTGTGCTTTCAGTCTTAAATACATATATGGAGAACCCAAGTACAAGTACTCTGGCTTATTTCAGAATAAATAGCACCAGACATTCACAGTGAGAACATTTCATCCCTTTAGCAGATATTAGAAACTGCTGGACTATTTACATATAATAGATGTGACTCCATCTATCACTCTTTTAACTTTTTTCTTTGTTTGAATGATATTTAATCACAGCAAATATGTTATAGGAAAATCTGTCTGGGTACCTGGTTTCCTACTGGAAGTAATAGTGATGATAGAAAGCATAATTATTTGGGCCATGGCACAGACTTTTTTCTTTTCTAAAGATCATTAGGTTTTATCAATGTTATTTTTTCAGAGGCAATAATTCCTGAAACAAAAAGAGTGGCCAAATAAAGCACTGAACTTTCATTTCTTTTGCACCTGTCAGGGTCAAAGACCACATACATAGGGAAGGGCTCCTTTGAGTGTGAAGCATGAAATGTAGCTAGAAGCGGGATGTTATCTTGTGGTCCCCCACATAATTTCCTTTCTGTACTGAGGCATTAGAGAGAAGTTGTGGGCAGACTGGTGTCCATGGCATGAGTTGTAAACACCCATTGCATTGCTCATACACACTTTTATTGCTCATGCTTGCAGAAATTGTTAAAGCGCAAGTGCTAAACAGATCAGGATTTTGAAAGGAAAAATGTAGTGATAACTACTTGTACCCTTGTACCAGACTTCTGTTCTACTGTCTTGCATATAACTACCATTACATATAAGGATTCTTTCTTGTAATATTTTGCATCAACACTGTAGTTCTCAGTGTGAATTTTTAAAAATATTTTTTATTTAAAATAATATTTGCCTAGGCAGGTTACATGGATGGTTGGGAAATATTATTGCATTGCCCTATGAACACACCATCTATTTTGAATGAATGGCATCTATTTTAAATACATATTTTTTATTTCATAAGCTCAAATTGATCGTACAGTTCTGTAAAGTCAAAGCTATTCAAATACAATTTGTTAGAATAATGTAAACACTGTCTTCCACAGAAAGAAAAATTGTCCAATTTGATAGTGGATAATATGATTTATGTTTATAAAATTCTCAATTAAACACATAGTTATGCCGACATACTGCAATTATTTCATATGATGACAATTCGTTCCAGAAAAAAACTAACTGGAGGCAGACTGAAATTATTTGGAGCATGTCATATTTTTTCTGAATAATTTCTCCTAATAAAGAGATTAACTTTTAAAACCTACTCCAAAATATGGGATATTATGTAAACTATCATGTATTAAGAGAAAGGAATCTCAAACTGTATTCCATTTGGTACAAAAATTTAAACATGATGCATTTCAGCACTAATGTTGCTCTGTTGCAGTTTGCTTCATTTGGGTCAATTAGTTCAAAGGTTTGATACACAGGTATTGTTCCATGTTGGAAGCTATTAAAAAATTCCCTTTTCATCCCTAGCTGCCCTACAGCATAGAAAGCATTTGTCACAGAATCATAGAATCACAGAATGGTTTGGGTTGGAACGGACCTTTAAAGATCATCTAGTCCAACCCCCCTGCAATGATTAGGGACACCATCAACTAGACTGGGTTGTTCAAAGCAGATCCAACCTGATCTGGAATGTTTTCAGGGATGGAACATCTACCACTTCTCTGAGCAACCTGTTCCATCGCTTCTTCTCTCAACTACTGTTGTACCTTATATTGATGTGTATGTTGTACTAATACAACTGTTCAGGGAATGTGCTATAAAGTGTAATTCAAATGATCCCTGCTTAAAAACCACAACAAATCCAAAGACATTTATTTGGATCAGCTGAGTGCTCTGATTTGCAGTGCCCCAAAATAATATAATTTTGTGAGAATGACATAGGGAGAAGGGTGAAGGTCTTAGTATGGCTGAGAACAAGGAGGATGGGAGAAAGTAAAGGACTATTTCTTGGGACATCTCTTTCCTGGACAAAATTTATCCAACACCTATATGCTCAGTTTCCTCACTAAACATACTGTCAGGCAAGTTTGTGGTGATGGGGAGGACTCTTTATCTTTGTCACTACCTCATAAGTTTTAGATGCTTTTTCTTCCCATACACTGGGAAACCCTGATCTTTTAACTTCAGAAAAATGCCTGAGAGGCCTCGAAGTGACTCCCTGGCCAGACTGCAGTGCCTGCCTCCAGTTATGTCAGACACTTAAATGTGACATACCTGTCCTTGGCCTCTCATTTCATGGTAGCCCTAGTCCTACTTCACTATAAGCAATTAGTTTTGTTTAAAAAGGTCTTGTAGGTGAGCACATGCATATAAATATGTCTCATTTTGGTCTTCTTTCAGAACTTCATGATTTGGCCATTCTCTGGGGTTGCCCAGTTGTTCCAAGGCTATAGAGTAAGAGTACATCTTTGATGCTAACCCAAAATAGAAGCATGACTAAGAAGGTGTTGTGCAGCAGCAGTACTGGGGTAACCCTGTTGGCTACTCAGTCTTGCAGACAGACAGTTGCCTTGTTAATTTGTATTTAACAGCACACTCTGCCTATATTTTTCCATCACATTATCTGCATGTCATCCGCTGCTGTATTTCTTGTTCCTTGTTGTCTTCTTGCCTGAAATGAATGAAAAGTCCCCAGTGGTAAGGAATTTACTTCAATACTTACTAGTGTCTAATTAGGAGGAATAAACAGGAGAGATTTGGGGGAAATTGGTCTTGATTCTCTTGTGTCATTTCTGCTGTCTTAAATCTCTAGCCAAATCCTGCCATTCTCACTTCAGTTCCCATGAGTGAAATTTACAACTTTCAGGTTTATTTCTTGCTATTGTGCTGCAAAGAATCACAGTAATAATTATTTAGTTCATTCGATAAAAGCAATACGAAAGCAGTGCATTCCCAGTTATATGTCGATGTTCTTCTTTCAGAACTGATGACTAATAACTATAAATCAAAGTAGATAAGAATAAGGGAAATGGCTGTCAAAACTGTTTTATAAAAATAGATCTCCCTAGATGTACTTAGGAATGATTTAGAAAAAAATGAACATTGGATTTTCTTTTGTACCCCCAATCTTAAAATGGAATATTGTTAAGGTGATTATCCTGCCACCGTTTGCACCTTTCAAAAAGTAATGTCTTTCATAAAAACAATACACTTACATAGTTAGAGAGCCTGCCAGAAGTAAGAAGTCTTATTTCTTGCAGAGGTGAAGCAGGTGTTTACTCACTCTTCCTATTTTTTTAATTGATATTATTTTTATGTTAGTTTACTTTACTTTTAAACTGCCATTTCATTCTTTGAACCAATAACATGTTCTCCAAGCCTATATATTAAAGAAAGTAGAATTTAACTTAATTTAACAAGAAAAAGCATTAATGAACTTTTTCAACACATACATTGAGAAAGTTTTTAAAAGAAGTTTCCTACCTAACATATATGCCCAAATCTCAGAAACTTGGAAACCAGATGATCCTATTCTTTACCTCAATGATTTTTGAAGAATGTCATGAGACATTTGCTGGCAAAAGTCAGGAGGAATAGTAGCATTAGTTGTGAATTCCCTACTACTTGACATTTAAATTATACCATTTGGACATTATTCAAAATCTCTTGACATAGCTACAGCAGGTCCCATCCACCGAAAATAGATAGCTGGCAATTCAATGACAGAAGAAAAAGGGACGTAAAATGTTTGATTACAGTGATGTGTAGCTGCATCGGTCATTACAATGTCACAGCAAGGTTATGAGACATTTCCATTTTTAACAATCTTAATGGGTTTAGGTCCTGAAGTCCTTATTAAATTACAGACAATTGGATTTGTCAGTTTTAGGCTTAGCCTATATATCTGAGATGGAGGAGTAAATGGTAATGTGATCTATCTTGGGAGTTAAATTGGATGCTGCTAGTAGTATCAATAGTAATAATGCCAGTTGTGTAACACATAAGTATGTTCTCTGTGCAGAGTTTTTACGTGTAATACTGTCACTGGCTGAAAGTTTCTGAAGCAGTGAAGCTGCTTAGTTGTCATTTACCCGTAATGACAAACTGTGAATAAGTGCCCAATTAAAATTTACGTGAAGAATCTGAAAAAAGTAATTTTATAAGAAGGATAAAATATTGGTCTAAGTTTAAGGAAAATGTAGGAGGAATTAATTTTATACTTTTACAGTGTTTTCCAAAACCTTAACATCTCTAAAATTTTATAAGCAATCTTGGGATATTTTTGTCTTGCCTTTTATGTACCTGCCTGCATTCACAAGTAACCAAATAAACCCACATTTGCTGCTTTAAGGAAAACTGCCTACAGAAAAGTAATAGCAGAAAACCCCAAGAAGTTACTCTTTTTATGATGCTTATTTCAGGTAGGCATTCTCATATCTTTGCAGGTGCTGGGGTCCATCAGTGCTGGCCAGTTTTGAAACATCACCTCCTAAGGGCAATTACAAGGTGCGCCACATGAGCAGGCAATTCCCAAATGCTGAAAGTCAAGCAGTGAGGCAGAAGGCCAGCTTTGCTGAACAGGGATCTTGTCTCAGAGTCAAGGAAAAAAGGAAGGTGTATGCCCAGTGGAAGCAAGGTCAAGTGACATGGGAAGAATACAGAGATGCTGCTTGCAGCTGTAGTGAGAAAATTCGTGTGACAGAAAATCAACTGGAGTTGAAGCTGGCCAGAAATGTAGGGGACAATAAAAAGAATTTTTTCAAATATGTTAATGGCAATAGGCAGGATAGAAATATCATTGGCCTGGTACAGGATGAGGATGGTAACCTCACAAACAGGGACAGAGACAAGGCAGAGGTGTTTAAGGCTTTCTTTGCCTTTGTCTTCAACAGGGATGACAGACCAAGGGGGTCTCAGTGCCATGAGCTTGAGGACCATGACTGCAAGAATAATCAACTCGCAGTTGACCTGAATTTGTGCGGGACCTGCTACTCCAGCTGGATCCCTACAAATCTATGGGGCCTGATGGGATTCATCCCAGAATCCTCAAAGAGCTGGCTGATGTTATCGCAAAGCCTCTCTCAGTTTTTGAGTTGTCTTGGGAATCTGGAGAGTTCTCAGTTGACTGGAAGCTAGCAAATGTTGTACCAATTTTCAATAAGGGCAAGAAGGCGGACTTCGGAACCTACAGGCCTGTCAGTCTCCCTTCAGCGCCTGCTAAATTATAGAGAAGATTATTCTGGGAGGTATTGAAAAATACCTGAAAGACACAACCAGCAGGGTAGTCCTGCTTATCAAACCTGATTTCTGTTTATGATAAGGTAACCCACCAAGCTGATCAGTAAAGCTTTAGATACTCTCTCACAGGATCCTTCTGGACAAACTGTCCAGCACACAGTTGGATAAACACATCATGTGATGGGTGAGCAATTGGCTCATGGGTCGAGCACAGAGGGTGATAGTGAATGGGGGAACATCAAACTGGCAACTTGTCACTAGTGGGGTTACACAGGGCTCCATCTTAGGCCCTGTGTCCTCAACATCTTCATAAATGACTTGGATGCAGGACTGGAAGGGATACTAAGCAAGTTTGCATAGGACACAAAACTCAGAGGAGCTCTTGACTCCCTCAAAGGCAGGGAGGCCCTGCAGAGAGACCCTGACAAATTAGAGGACTGGGCAATCACCAACCATATTAAGTTCAACAAGGGAAGTACCAGATTCTGCACCTGGGAGGGGCAACCCTGGATGTCCATACAGACTGTGGAATGAGATGCTGGAAAGCATGGGGGTCCTGATCAATGGCAAGTTGAATATGAGTCAGCAGTGCCCTGGCAGCCAGGAGTGCCAACCATGTCCTAGGGGGCATCAGGCAAAGCATCGCCAACTGGTCGAGGGAGGTGATTGTCCCACTCTGCTCTGCACTGGGGTGACCTCACCTTGAATATTGTGTGCAGTTTTGGGCATCACAATATAAGAAAGATATTAAGCTATTAGAGAGTATCCAAAGGAAGGCAATGAAGATGGTGAAGGGCCTTGAGAGGAAGCCGGATGAGGAGCGGCTGAGGTCACATGGTTTGTTCAGCCTGGAGAAGAGAAGGCTGAGGGGAGACCTCATGGCAGTCCACAACTTCTTCATGAGAGTAAGAGGAGGGGCAGGCACTGATCTCTTCTCTGTGGTGACCATGAGACAGAACCTGAGGTAATGGCCTGAAGTTTTGTCAGGGGAGGTTTAGGTTGGATATTAGAAAAAAGTTCTTCACCTAGAGAGTGGTTGGGCGCTGGAACAGGCTCCCCATGGAAGTGGTCACAGCACCAAACCTGACAGAGTTCAAGAAGCATTTGGACAATGGTCTCAGGCACATGGTGTGACTCTTAGGTATGATCCTGTGCATGGCTAAGGGTTAGACTCAGTGATGGTTGTAGATTCCTTCCAACTCAGCATATTCTGTGATTTGCACTGGTTTAACAAAACAAAAACAAACAAAAAAAAAGGTGAGATATCTAAATGTTTTCTTAAGATTTGTAAAAATAAATACCAGCATGTTAAATAAGTATAAATCATGTTTAAATACATTCATGTATGCATAAACAGGGTTTCAAATCAACTCATCTAAATCAATACTGAAATATTTAAACTATATCAGTTCAACACCTGAAAGTGAACTTGTATGCGATTTGTATGGTACTCGGTCTTGTAAATCTATGTTGTCTTTTAACTTTCAAGGATTAGAATTGTAGAATTGCTGAACTTAATATTACTTGATGCTTTGCCTATAATACATTTCATTATTAGAAAATATAGAAGGCAATAATTTTGGGGACAAAGGGGATTGAGCTATTCCACTTTTTTAACTTTTACTTCACATTTCTTGCTATGAATGTGTAAAATTGGTTAAATAAAAGAAAGTTCTTAGTCTGAGACTAATTTAGGACATAGGCAAATTACTTCCAAATGCACAAGTAATTCCTACTGTGATTATTACCCATAATCTTGAACAACTTGCAAATCCTTTAAAATATCCATTAACAAAATGTGCTTTCAAAATAGTGTTCTGAGAAATGACTGTACACTCTTATTTTTTGCAGAACTGGCTGCTGGTAATTTCTCCAGGTGTACTTTCATTTTTAGAATTTATGATTTTTGCCTTTGTCATGTATTTTCATACAGCTGTGTTTTTTATATTTATTTTTTTTGGTACTTTCCTTGTCTTTATGGAGACTAGCAGAACTAAACTATGGTGTACCTTTAAAATACAATAACTAGAATTATAAAAGGCAAAGCAGTTTCTTATTACAACCATGCTTTTAATGTCTAGTTAAAGTACTGTCAGACCATAAGTAAAGCTAGAGCATGTCTTTGCCACCCCACAGAAGTAAATCTCTTTACCTGAGCTTTCCACTCAGTAAGGTACATCTGGAGAAAAAAAAATCCCATCCTTATTCTGCTTTAGGAAAAGACAGTCATCATAAGAGTACAGAATTGAACTACAAACTACCATGTTTTTTAGGTTTCTTTTTCCCTCCTTTGAAACCTATCTACCTACCTAGACAATTCCTTTTAAGGAAAAAACCAAATATTATAGCTAAGATAACCTATCTGCACAGTCACTTTAAGATTTTTTGAAGATGAAAGTATATGCTCATATCTTTTCTTTAGGATTATTTTCATTCAGTTGTGTGAACAAACAAATAAAGCTACAAAAGTGAGAAGCAGGTGTTAGAGTCGCCAGTGGAACTCAGGCATGGCAATATTGGCCGCTGTCACATCAAACCATGGGCATAGAAATATCCACAAGCAATACACCAACCACTTTTTGGCATTTGACTTCCTCATAGTGCAGAAAAATGAAGGGATTCACAGGAGCCAATGTGCTAAAGATACCCTGAAGGAAGAGCTGATGAAGAGGGATTCTGCCTTACCTCTCTACGCCTGGAGAACCTAGATGTCTAATGCTGCACTAGACATAGATGCTTATTTTAATTTGGGTTTTACAAGCCTTAACTTCTCCTAAATTAGAACCATAAATCTTACAGTGACAACTTTATTTCTACCACTGTACCTTTTCTACACTACTTCATAACTCTTTCCTGTAGCAAAATCTTTCTTATACTGGTTCTTGGAACAAACTTTCTGCTTCAGCAATGATCTTACAAACTTCCTAAAGAGAAGAAACTTGGAAAATGCAAAAATCTAGCATTATTTTTTCCCTGCAGGTATCATATAAATTGTATATGCTGTTATTGCAAACTATGGTTTTTCAACAGATGCCTTAAAATTACTTTAATTGTAAACCGAAACCTTATTTTTATTTTCATAATCCTTATAGCTTGTTGCATGGCACCAGGATTCTGTTTCTGTAGAAGAGGAATACATGAGCAAGACCAAATGAAGATTTTTGGCTTTCACATGGTTATTAGTCTAGAACATTTACTATTGTTAGGTTAAAAAATTATATTTGTGCATTTCTCTAAACATTACATAGCTAGCTATCTCTGATTATCACTCTATTTTTTCCTAGGTTATACTTAGTTAAATGCCTTGTTATTTTAGAGAATTATGGGAGACTTTCTTTACTAATGAATAACTTATGATGTAGTTTAGTTCCCATATAGCTTTGAGGACTACATTGATACCTGAATATAATAGGTTTCACACACCTATGTAGAATATTTGGCTTTAAAAGCTGCATAGTAAAGAGAGGTTGCATTTACATTACTCGGCATTACTGATAGGTAGCTAAAAACAGTATTAGCCCAGTGCCCAAGCACCCTATTTTCAAAAATTTGTTTTACTGGAAAGACATTTTGATAATTGACCATTTAAAGCTTTGTAGATACTAAAGCCATAATCATTATGATAAAAGAATGAACAGTTGTTATTTGGTTAATGAATTAAAGACTAAAAGTCCTAAAGGTCCCTGACAGCTTGGCAGGACTCACTAGTATCTGGTTGTGTCAATGGCTCTGCCCATATAAAATTGACTAATTGGAGATATAAATAAAGCTGGATATGTGAAAATCATAGAATTATAGAATATGCTGAGTTGGAAGGCACCAATCAGGATCATCAAGTCCAACTCCTGGCACTGTGCAGGACACTCCAAGAATCACACCATGTGCCTGAAACCACTGTCCAAATGCTTCTTGAACTCAGAGAAGATTGGTGCTCTGACCACTTCCCTGGGGAGCCTGTTTCAGAGCTCAACCACCCTGTGGGTGAAAATTTTTTCCTAATATCTAACCTAAACCTCCCCTGACACAGCTTCATGCCATTCCCTTGACTGCTGTCACTGGTCACAAGAATGAAGATACTGGTACTTACCCCCCCTCTTCCCATCATGAGGATGCTGAAGACCACAATGAGGTCCCCCATCAGTTTCCTTTTCTCCAGGCGGAAGGAGAATTACCTCTTTTGACCAGCTGGTGATGCTTTGCCTGATGCCCCCCAGGACACGGTTGGCCCTCCTGGCTGCCAGGGCACTGCTGACTCATATTCAACTTGCCATTGACCAGAACCCCTATGTCCCTTTCTGTGGCACTGCTTTCCAGCCTCTCATTCCCTAGTCTATACACACAACCATATTTACCCTCTTTCAGGTAGAGGTTCTGGCACTTGCCATTTTTAAACTTCATACAGTTGGTGAATGCTCATCTCTCTCATTTGTGGAGGTCTCTCTGCAGGGCCTCCCTGCCCTCAAAGGAGTCAAGAGCTTCTCCCAGTTTAGTGTCGTCATCAAACTTGCTTAGTATCCCTTTCAGTCCTGCGTCCAAGTCATTAACGAAGATGTAGAAGAGAACTGGGCTGAGGATGAAACCCTGTGGAACCCCGCTAATGACTGGATGCCAGCCTGATGTTCCCTCATTTAGTATAACTCTTTGTGCCCAACCTGTGAGCCAATTCCTCACCAAGTGCATAACATGGTTATTCAACTGAATGCTGGACGTTTTATCCAGAAGGATACTATGAGACACAGTATTAAAAACTTTGCTGAAGTCCAAAAAAATTAAATCTAATGGCTTTCCTAGATTAACTGGGTGGATTACCCTGTCATAGAAGGAAATCAAGTTTGGCAAGCAGGACTGCCCTCTCATGAAGCTGTGCTGGTTGTGACTTCTGACAGCATTGTCCTCCAGATGTTTTTCAAAACTTCCTAGAATAATTTTACCAGGTACTGAAGTGAGACTGACAGGCCTGTAGTCTCTGGGTTCCTCCTTCTTGC